ATTTCTCAAAGAAAAACTAATATAAAATTATGTTAATAATCTAAGAAGTCTAATACAGATTTTGTGACAAATTTCTCCCGATTAATTGATTTAATATCATATTTAATATTACTCAATGAATAAGATTTATTCTACTAATTAGATATTCTTAATTCATAAAAAAATTATTCATGTTTTCAAAATTCGGTTCGAAGAAAACTTCTGAAGTACATGTTTCTCTACACAGCCTTTGTATATACTTTGCTCTCACTGTATGAAACTACACATTGTTTTTACAATTTGTATTTAATTATTCTGCAACTACATGTAAAGTTGTATGCAACTGCAATGTTTGTTTCTATGCAACTGCATGTAAAGTTCGGTTAACTAACCTAATTTATGATAATTTATACTTATATTGTTATAGGAGTCATTTACTTTTCTTTGGTATATCTCACTTACCTACTATTTTTATATATCCCTGATGTAATTATTTCATTTATTCTATCATATAATAGAATTTAGTCTCATTTTGTCTTCCATTTCGTCATTTTTAACTTGGTTATTGCAATATAAAATAGTATCTATTTTTTAAAATTCTGTTAAATGTTGATTAATTTAAAATAATTCTGTTTCCTAATAGTTGGGTTAACAAGGAAATTTATAAAAAAATTTACGCACATTGAGTTCAACTTTTGACAATGTTTACCGTAGACAAAATTTACTGATTTTGACAATAACATCAGAATCCCTTTTTTTACAGTACCACTTGACTATGATACTGATGAATTTTCCGGCATCTAAAGATAATTTACATCTCCTTTTTTATCATTAATATATACCACAACTGTTATCATTATGAATGATACTCTTCGTTCGTACGTGTAATTTTTTTTTTGTAATGAATAATTAATAGAATGGATGTAATATCGTTGAACCTTAAAGGTAAAAATCTAAATGCCATCGCACTTAATATACTCGTGGAAAATATTTTTCTCCCTGACAGGTTTATTTAATTTCACCAGCTATGCAATATTATTTCTAGTTGACTGACTTGGAAACCTGTTAAGCTTTGTGTGTGTCACAAAACGTTCAATTCCATAATGATATATGTAAAAGAAAGATTTAACGTGTATTGCAAAGGCCATACACATCGTAGTTATTTTTTTATTTAGTAATTGTCTGGAAGATTTAGAAAATGCTGATCCTTGCAGTAAATAGGAGCATTTGTTACATATACAAATATAAAAGCTTTTCTTTTTATAAATCTATATTTAGTATAATCTTGGTTTATTTATTTAACATTTATCGTTCAAGTTTTTAAATTTAAAGGAGTTGAATTTGGTACAAAATGGCATATATTATATAATAATAACTATCGCTTTCATTTTTGTACATATTAAGAGTAATTACGTTGTTATTTATTCTTAATGCATTTAAAAAAGCAGAAAGTAATAAGTCACATTATTTTAGAAATACCGAATTTCATTTATGAAAACTTAATTAAGTATTTTTTTTTTGCTAAAATTTTTCCAACATATTTTTTTACCTCATTTACTTTAATTTTTAATTAATAGAAAACTGTATAATTTAATTAAAATTTTGTCTTTTGATTTTATATTATATTTACGAAATTCAATTTATGATACAAAATTGTATCGAATTCTTTTTTATATTATAATGCACAAATCTGTTGACAATATCTTAAATTGAAGTTTTCAATATTTTACATTGTTAAGAGTAATCTCTATTAAAGTAAAATAATATTTTACTCTTTCTTTCATTCGAGAATTTATAAGGAAAAAATAGTAAGTTTTTTTAACAATGAAGTTTTGATTAAATTTTCTTATGATTTCATTAATAAAACATTGATTTAAAATTCATTTAACTCTACATTCTCCAAATGAGTTATATCAGGATAATTTTACCGAAGATACAATAATATTCGTTATTCGCTCGTTCACTTTCTCATAATTAAAAGAAGTATAAAGATATTTAAAAATCAGATATTAATTGAAAAGTTATTCAGTGTTCATAATTTATTTTACAATCTATAATATCCGATATTATGAATCTATACCATATATATATATATATATATATATATATATATATATATATATATATATGCATACATAAAAGATAATTCCTAATTGAATTTTATAAAATCTTTTTAGATCTGGATATTCTTCGCATCTTAACGTCTAATGAAATCAAATTATGTTTCTTATTTTTCACAAAAAGTAAGAAATATTATTTCAACTCTTCAGGTCTTTATCTTCTCGTGGGGATAACGGGACGTGCAAATGCGTATTCACTTTGATCGGAGTGTCGGCTGTCATCCTGCTAACAATTTAATGAGCGACTTGAAAAAATTGTCCATATATACATGAATGCATAAAGCTGTAGTTATTTTTTTTCGCGACATTTCACCTTCAAATCTACATACGTGTACTTGTGTTTTATACCTGCAGGTAGCTACACGAAATCGTGGCATCCGCCCAAGTAATTCTTTTCCCCTTTTCCAGTCTCGCACTTTTCTCTGGGACAATTGTCTTTTTTTCTTCTGTATTTTCCGCTCGTATATGCTGTGGATTTCTAGGCTAAATCCATTGTTGTTCAGCGATTCTGTGCTTTTTTTTTCTTTTACTTACTCTTGGCAATGCATTAATATGAACAATCTCTCTCTCTCTCTCTTTTTTAAATCGACTTCTCTTTTCTTTATTGCATATATTTGTAGTATATTTTTGTATATATATATATATATATATATATGCAAAATAACCATAATTACGTCATAACAATTTGAAAATACTGCAATTTGTCCATTAATTTTATGGTGATCCAATTAACAAATGATGCGTTCATAAAGTAAAGTATTTTACGATAAAATTCCCAGTAGTTTAAATTTCGACGTCTATTTTTTTTTTTATTCCTTTCTTTACTTGCTAACAGAAGGTTTTGTTTAATTATGTTCAATATATTTTTACAATGTTGTTCGTTTCTCTTATCGAGTCTGAATTTTTTGCTAATGAAAATTGTAAGCGCTTTATAGACAGAAACTTTAGAGAGTAGAAAATATAAATTCACGTTCGATTAATTTATTAAATTAATTATTATCTGGTACACACCAAGATAAATAGCCAATATATGGCGTTAGATGTAAAAGTTTGTAAATAGAGTACTATTAATCATTTAAAGATAGGATAGTGTTTAGATATAACTATATTATTCGATTGTACAATATTCAATTGAATAAACTAAGTTTCAATTAGATACGATAATGCTTGGTACTAAAGTTAAATAGCATTAATACAGTAGCTTAACTTCTTTTAGTTTTTCTTATGCCACGAAAACTTAAAAATAACATTTTAAGCGATTGATTTAAGAAGAAACCTTTAAACTGCCATTCATAGCGCAAATATTCGAGTGTTAAATTTTAATAACAGAGTTTGCAAAAAGTGGAGGTAAATATAATGCTTTTGCTTGTTGGATCGAGGGTATTTGATGAAAACATTTTTCATTTATATCAAATTCATGATAAAGATAATTGATACGAAGTATTTTGAAAAGTTCTAATAACCGATACTTCTCATAACATCGAGAGCAATGTAATTTAAAACATGATTTAATGTTGCGAGCTCAACAGTTTTCAGGAAGCACTTATGAAATACATATTTGCTTTAAACCGATATTGCCGTAGTGCATAAAAACCAAAAAAATAAAAACGATAATCCCAGGAGTTGAGCTCCGTAAGACAATGGGAATTCAATTCGCACTTCAAAGGATATTCATACGTATCGTTTTGCACTCACTTCGCTATGACTACTGCGGAAGCCCTCTCAGAACGCACCGTTGAGATCGATCGCTCCACTTAGGACTTCTGTGCGAATCATCCGAGAGAGGAGAGCGAGAGCGGAATTGGGAGAGACACTACGAGAGACAGTGTGCGTGCGTGCGTGCGTGCGTGCGTGCGTGCGTGCGTGTGTGTGTGTGTGTGTGTGTGTGTGAGAGAGAGAGAGAGAGTGAGTGAGAGAGTGAGAAAAGGAATGGAGACGGGGGAGAAAATGAAGTGAGAACGGAAGAGAGAAAAGACAAAAAGTCAATGTATCCCATTCGACGAGCGAACAAATTCCGGCACCGATATATCCTATCTCGGTCCCTCGACTCAATTGAGATAAAGAGGGAGACTACGCCCCATCGTAGTTGTCTTGCACAATAATTTTCCATATTCCCCAAAGTCGCTCCACTTCTCCCCGAAATGGATCAACTCGCTCTATTCTTGAAACTTCGGCTTCCCCTAAAATTGCCCGTAAATTTCAATCATATCAATTTGCGCCGAGCCAGCCTTTATAGATTCCAAGAATATATCATTATTTCATTAAACCGGTGGTAGCGCTATGTTTATTATTATCGAGAATACTCGGCTGGATAACTTTCTCATCGACGCGCCTCGGTAACTTATTATTTTCGATACCGCCGAGTCAGCGGGATTTTTCAAATCTCTATGCCACCTGCCGAATACCGACTCAACGTTTGCTCGCTAATACCACTTACGCTAATACCAAACTTGCCGCATTTAATCGCGCATTCCCGAACAATTACATTCGTCAACTTCTCCTACATTCAATTCAATGAATCTCCATCTCGGCTTTGCATTATGAGCGGCGCGTCCTTCCCTACTCAACTTAACGCCGATCAATTGCCTCGAATTTCAAATCTCGCGGCATTATTACGAGGCAGCATATTGCCGTATTATGATTTCGCCTCGAAGTCTACGGACGGGGCCTGTTAGATTAATGATTCCGATTAAGCGCGATCTATTCGAGATACTACCCTGGATGAAAATCCACCGGCTACGCGTCGACGCCAAAGCGAGCGAGATCGTCGATCGGTCTCAAGGAGATCGATGCGCCAACCGAGCAATCGTCGATCGTCCCGAAACTTCAGAGCGGCGCTCGAGCCCCGTCAACCCCATGGGTTCCCAAACTCCTCCGGGAGGGGCCGTCGCCGATTCTTACCGGTGATGCCGAGCACGACCCAGCAGACCAGAGAGAGTAAGTAGTAGTCGACGCAGGAGGACGTCCTCATGTTGGGCTGGCGACCACTGGCATGCCTCCGCCGGCCCGAGCAACCCTCTCGCCAGGCTCCCGGCTGGGCCTCACTGGCCACGAGTCCCGGCGAGCTTCGCTGCCCGCCTATCCATCCACTATCCCGTCACTTTAGGCGCGTCCCTCACTCGCTCACACTTGCCGCGGATGCCATAAAGTGGCGACCCCAGCGGGCCAGGATCAGCGCTACCCGTCGAAGGACTCGCGTTGGCGGCTTGTTTTCGGGAGAGGCGCCGCCAGGAGCGCGCCGCTGCCTTGAGATACCAGAGTAAGAGGTCCGCGCACCCTACTGACGCGTTCTCTGTCGCCGCGGCACCCCCGTACTCGCGGTCCGCCCCTCCGTCGCTCGACGCCGCGGAGGGCGAAGAAAGGGGCAGGGGACGGATCATCGGGGGAATTGGTCGCCGGGTGGGGCGTCAGCGATGGTGGCGACGGTGGCGGCGGTGGCGGCGGTGGCGGCGGTGGCGGCGGCGGTGGCGGCGGTAGCGGCGGCGGTGCCGGTGGATGAAGGGGAGTGCGGGAAGATCGAGGCGTCTCGATGCGACCCGGGCGAAGCTCTACGACCCCTGCACATTGCCGGGTTGGCGGCGCCACTGCCCGCGCAGCGTCGGAGCACAGCCCCGGGATCCGCGCAAGCGTGTTCGCCACGGCCGCGAATCGCCCTCTCCCAGTCCACGCTACCCTCCCTTACTCCATCTCCTCCTCCTCTCGCATCCCGCATCCCTCGTCACGCATCCCACCCCCGACTCTACTACCGCCACCGCCGCCGCCCCATCGCTGCTACTACTGCACACGCATCCCCACCTATTCACTTCTTCGCTTTCTTCTATTTCGAATTCTCTCTCGCTAAGCTTTTATCGTTCTCGGCGCACCTACTTTTCACCCTTTCCCTCCTATAGCCGCGCATCTGTGCATCTGCGACTATGTTACGTTACTCTCTCTAGGATTCTCGAGGATTGTTGTCGTCTGTCCGTGCGTTATTCCTCATCGACTGCTTTTCTTTTTTCCGCTTCCTCGGAGCCCATCTCGACGCTTTTCCCGCTGACTCGAGATCTCCCATGAAGGCGGCAGATTTTTCTTCTTCTTCTTCTTCTTCTTCTTCTTATTCTTATTCTTCGGATCTCGGCTTTTCTCTACTTATCCAAGCCCAATTCCATGCGGGTAAACGTAGCCCTTCCCATTCTCCATCCATTCTCTCAATTATCCCTTACTTAATTAGACAATTTCTTGGGACGTTCTTTACTATTTATTGAACTTTCGTTTATGAAAATTCTTTGGGACTAACGAGTGAGTGATTCAATATGCCGATGAAACCTGTGTGCTTGAACAATAGCGATAATGATCTTTGAAGTTATATATAACTTACGTCTTAATTTTTCCCTTTAATACTTACAGTCGTATCAAATGAGTTATGTTTTAAATTACTTGTAAATACATACACACACACACACACACACACACACACACACACACACACACACATACACACACAATAATGCATAAAATTTAGAATAATAAAAATAAAAGACAAACAAATGTTAACGTTAGAATAAAAAAAAAAATTTCAGCTGAATTGTAACAATTAATATTTTTATGTTCAAAATAAGTAACGCTTACTTATTCGATAGAAAATTTAAATCTCACTAAAAATAATTCTACGATTTTTCTTTATATGTTCTTAGAGTATCAAATTATAACATTTCGCACGCTCTTGTTACATACTTTTATTTTATATAAGTATTTGCGTCGAAGAAAAAGAAATATTACAAATAGATCTCCATGCGTACCTGATCCGATTCGAATTTCTTTAAAGTATACATATATATATATATATATATATATATATATATATATATATATATATATATTACTCATTGTTTTAAATTTAGTTGCAAACTTCAATCATGGAGTTCATTATATTATAAGATTTTATTATTTCCAATTCATACTGAGGAAATATTAATTATAAAGTATATACATATATGTCTGTCTCTCTCTCTCTCTCTCTCTCTCTCTCACTGTGTAAATGTGTGTACGCACGTACGTCAAGGCTTTTCAAAGAAATCACCATACTAATTAGTTATTTGATCCTGCAATATATTCACTAAGATTTTTACATATTTATTCAGATAATTGTTAACTTATCCGCACGTCAGATTATTAAAAAGTTTTTGTTTCATTTTTGATTCAGGTCATTGACATTTCGTAAGAGATAGATCTTCTTGACGTCGCATACACTACGTCTGTTCTTTGTATCCTTCCAACGGTACATAGCTTTGCCATCTCAGAATGCGAAAGAAATTTACCCTTTCAAGAGTTCCTTCCTTATCCCCTCAAGCATGCGAGTACTCAAACTTTAAGGTGACTTTCGAACTTCAAAACGAAGACTCGGGAGGAAAATTAGTTGCTTCGCTCACAAAAACGATGAATGAACGCGCATCAAGTTCATTCTGCTTCCATTTGTAATAACAAACAATCTTCTTTCCTCTGATCAACTTCTAACAAACTGAATTTTCTTTGATTTCACATCAAAAGAAGATTCAATAGTTTTATAAATATATCTTTGCGCATACATTCTTTTGTACACAAATCTTTTTATAGGATAATTCCTTTTCACGGATTCAAATTACGTATGCTCACGGCAATAATTCATCATATTAAATATATTTGTCTTCGTAGAAATAAAGTTACATTAAAAGAACACGCTGAATTTGAATCTGTTGCGCAATTAATAGACAATTAATGTATAAAATAAGAAGATTATCAATTACATTAAAAAAAAAATACATTAAAAGTGTGTGTTTTTGAAGCAGTCAATTCATAAAAATTACAAAACGTAATAATTTATATTGTAGCTTGAAGTAACCGATATGAGTATTAGATTTTTTTGTCGCATTATTTGTATACATTAATGAATTATATTCATTCATAAATTTGGAATTTTAAATAAATCATGATATTATTAGTGTCTACAATTTATGAAAAATTATTAATATAATCAAATCGGGTTGATAAATAAATTTGTTAAAATAACTTTCTTAGATAAATGCTGAAATTATTATTATTGTTATTGCTATCATTATTATTATTATTATTATTATTACTATTATTGTTATTGTTATTATTATTATTATTATTTTATTATTATTATTATTGTTATTGCTATTATTATTATTATTATTATTATTATTATTATTATTATTATTATTATTATTATTATTATTATTATTATTATTAGATTTATATATTACTGCAAAAACCTATTTATTCAAACTCTTGCAAAATCAAAATGGAAAGCTTTATTTTAGAATAAACGAAATTCGTGTGAAAAAATTTCTTAGTATTCCTTGCACGTTTTTAAAAAGTGTATCGTCGAAGCAAAATTCGCATACCATACAAGAAAGTCCAACTAGGCTGCGACAAAACATCGTCAATGTGTAAGAAGACACGAGACTTCCCGCATATTCAAAAAAATCTATGTTGTTATAATTTGATAAATATTACAAGTAAAAATAATTCTATTTTGAAAACAAAATTCATGTTTCACACGAATAATTACATTTTTCAAAAATAATTATCTTTCTTGAAATACGGTTAGTTTTGGAGAAATGAAGGCAAATACTTAATTCTGTGCTCCTAAAGAAGACATAAAAAAAAATATATTTTGAAAGCTAAGTGTTAAAATCGAAAATTTTTATGTAAAAAAATTTGCATGTATGTGTGTATTCGATTACTCTTTAAATGAAAAAATTATTAACTAACATTTTACTGAATCATCGTAAGCAATTTTTTAAAAAATAAAAATTATTTTAAATACAGATATTTGATGAGTCATGACTGCTAAAAAACATTTATAACATTAGAAACTAAATTTTTTCTGAATGTAATCATTTGTTTAAAAATAAAAAAATATAATTACATAACTTTGAATAGTATATTGTTAAAAAATTATTATCTTATAAAATTATGATATCTAGAATTTTACACTTTAGTATTATTATTATAATAACAATTATCTTTAGTTTAATTTTCGAATAAAAAAAGAAAATGAAATCTTAGTACTAATAAAACTTTGCTGATCTTATTAAAATAAAGTATTCATGCAGATCTTCTTTGGGATTAATATAGTTAATTTAGTCATTTATATATGAAATATAATACGAAAAAGAAAATAATAATTTTATTTTAAATATAATAAGCTGCTTGATGTTTTGGAAAATAATGAAACTTTATAATAGAAATTAGAAATTCTAATACTATGCATAATATTATTTCAATAATATTTACAGTTTAAATCTATATAAGATAATTTTCACTAACCTTCTATATTTTTCTAATTAATAATATCAATTTTCCAGTGAATTGTCATTAAAAATTGCCATTTAATCTTATTTATTAATTTAATTTGCCATTAAAATCGTAAATAATATACTTTATTCATGAATATAATGCAAAACTTCCATCGAATTTAAACGTGAATTTTTTCTTTATCTAACGAATGCATTTGTAAATGGAACAAAGCTTGCATTTACATCATATCTTAACTGTCTACATTAAATTAGTAGTATTTTTATAATTTAATGAAATAACTCTGAGATCCGCAACTAATAATACTAATATGTATATAAAGCATTAATTTATATTATTTGAACCATCATACACTTGCAGAAAAAAAATTATAATGAATTCAACGTTGCTTAACATTATGCTTTATAAGTAAAATATGGTAAATTTAAACCGATAATAAATTATTTGAATATATAAAGTAAAACGAATCATTTTAAAATTAATTGTTTTAAAATTTTTTAAATTAGAATTATATTTTTATTTTTTTTAAATTAAATTTAATTAATTTTGATCTAACTAAGCTATTGTACATTGATATCGGTGAAAATATTTTATTATATGTAATTATGATAAGTTAGAATCGTTTAATATTATCTTTCAAAATGTAATGTTTTAAATATATTTAAGAAATATTTGTGTTTATATGGAAAAAATATTTATTTGATTCAAGAGATTTTAGAATATGTAAAGAAGCTATTATTGCATTTATTAAAATAAATATAAGAATATTTCTTTGAATATAATAATTTACTTTACCTCTGTTCACAATGCCTTTTGAATATATATATATATATATATATATATGCTAATTATTTTATATTTTTTTTAGAGTTGATTTTCTTATATAAAGG